ACCTTTGTGATTTTTTACGTTTTAAAAAATATTTTGTTTTTTGAATTTTTGAAATTCTTTTTAAATTTTACGAGATTTTTGGAAAATTTCATGAGTTTTTACCGGATTTTTTGAAAATCCATAAATTTTTACTGAATTTTAAAAAAAAAATAGGTGTAAAGGCATTGACTTTACACTTGCTTTTTTATAAAACATGTGTCAAATCATAATTTATAAAAAAAATTTATAATTTTATACCAAATTTTAAAAAAAAAGACATAAAATCGTACTTTTTATATCAATTTTTTAAAAATATTCAATATCAAATATCAAAATTTTCAAATATCTCATAAAATAACAGATTTATAAAAATTCGGCAGCGTAACTTCATTTTTTTAGCCTATATGTTATGAACTATCAAATTTTTCAAAAATTTGAAAAATTATAAAATATATCGAATTTATCAAATAAATATTAATAATGTTAACTTCATTTTTTTATAGACCTACTTAATATGAATTATTGGATTTTCAAAATTTTAGTAAATATATATAAGTTTTTTAAAAATCCAGTAAAAACTCATACGAAATTTTTAAAATGGTTGTAAAAATGGAAAATTTTGCTACATTTCAGTAAAAAAATTATCGAAGTTTTTAAATGTACTATCAAATTTTTATAATTTTTCTGCTTTTTTGAGATTGAATTTTTTTATCAAGTATTATTTTGAGATAGAGTAAATATGAAAAGAAAAAAAAAAACATTTTGTTTGGTACGAAAAATAGAAGGGACCAGATTTAACTAGAGGATGGCAGGACAGAATCTCTTCTTGCGAGAATTTAACCTGTCACCCCCTAAATTAAATTTGGCACCCCCATTATTTCATAATGCCAAAACTGCTCCTGGGTAAAAAAATACATCAAATTTTCGTATGAAATTTCTGATAGACAAGTTGAAATTTCTGGTACAATTTGAAATTTTCGGTAGTTCATTTGGAATTTCCGGTATAAAGCAAAATTTTCTGAAAATTTTAAATTTTTGTGTTGATACCGAAAATTTCACCCTTAGTGAAATTTCTGATATTTGTATTTGTTGTATTTTTAGAGTTTTTTTTCATGATCAAGATTTTGCTGACAGTTTTGTGCGGTTGTGATTACACCGACAGTTTGTGTGTTCCAAAATAGATTTAAAGTTGTATAAATATGGGTCACCTGTTATTGACAAACACACATCAAAATATGCCTCTTCTCCAATTTTTTATTAAGGCAGAAGTGTACTTCAACAGAGCTTCTCCTCGTGTAGAGTTCAAGCTTCCCGATGTCACAACCTCTTCTGTCGGTCTGACGCTGAAGTTGAATGAATTGTTGCTTGATGGTGACAATAGAAAGGTGAGAAAGATCGAGTTTTGTGAAGATTGGATTGGTACTAATGGGAGGGTGAAATACAACCTTATTGAATTGAAGACCGACGAAGATGTGAAGAAAATGTGGAGATCATTTCGCCGTAGGATAACAAAGGGGTCGGTCGAGTTAGATACGAAGTTGTCAAGATTCGTTGATCATATAATGGAGATGATGAAACGTCCTGAAGAGTATGGTAGTGTTTAGGTTTTTCTTATTTAATAATCATATTGTAATATTAAGTATTTTCTGTTTAAGTTATGAAAAACATTGTCGGATGTTAGTTAACGATTAACGTTCACTCTACAATTTGAGGAAAATCACTAATATTAGCTAACAAAGTGTTATGATAAAGATGTATGAATAATATACAAATGATACATATAGTACAAAATTTATCTAAATAACCCCCCCCCCCCCCCCACGGGCTATGTGTGCAGTCCGATCTAATCTAGTATATACCTCACCATATGAGTTTACCAAACCCACAAGATTATCCATAATCACTGCAATCATATGGAGGCGCTACTAGTCATCATCGTGATCTACTAGAGGAGGTGGCGGTGGCGCGTCATTAACAGGTACGCGGTCATCAGAAGGCCTATCATCAGTTGGGGTGGGGTGATGCGAAGGTGTGATACAGTGAGGTACCACTCCAAGTAATCATCCTCACACTGCGAGGGGTGCTGAGCAGTGATCGCTCAATCTTTGATGGCATGACCAGAGCTGATAAAGTTACTCTGAAACCACCAATAAATCCCTGAAGCTGGGATATCTGGAACTAGTCGTGAGATACCCTGAACATAACCATACTATCGCAGACATCTCTCAGGTAAGTGTCTCGCAACCATGGTCTCCCACCGCATGTAACATGAATATAATGATGACTCCTCGAACTCACCCTGGACTCTATAACCAGTGTATGATGTCCATATGACATCATCTATAGTAAGAGCATCAAGCCTCTCCTATACTCAGCAACACCTCCAAGATGTGCATGTCTCCCCTTCCATCTCTTCGCTCGTGGGACCCTCGTCTCGCAATGTTGCACCTTCCTGTAACAGATGGTAGGAAAATGCTCGTATATCCAACACTAAAATCGGAACATAAACACAACAAATAATAATTTATAAATGATATTTGTAGAAAATAAATACGAAAGCAACAACATATAATAATTTCACGTATACATATAACAGACTCAAATAGCCAGCAAGCTGTTTATTCTCAAAGACCGCCACCACTCTAAGAGTTGTATACAACTGGGTTAACGCAACGCACCCCGAAGCCCAGCTGATGTCCTCGAGGCTACTGAAGAGGCAAAAGTATCGGGCATCAACATAAGTACAAGACTTGTCCGCAAAGAGCGTACATGTTATTACATCTAGCATTTACGCCCTAACGGCAGCCTCGTACCTCCCATCAGCTATAAGTCGGTCGTATATCTTCCAAATCCAATGCATGTGAAAATGCACAACCCTGGTTTCACTAAACTCATTCATCACCTCCGCCTCAGACAAACTCAAATCATGTGACACAACCTGACAAGTGGTGGTCATGCTAAGAATCGGAGTCGTCCAGAATCTGTCGCTGATAGGGAGATGGAACAATGTAAAGACATCATCTAGAGTGACAATCATCTCCCCGAACGGAAGATGAAATGATGATGTCTCCTTGTTTCATCTCTCAACAGCGGAACTAAGCAATGGAGCGTCCAACATGGTGAGTGAGCAGTGGGCGAAATCAAGCAGCTCGAAGTCCCATAAAATTCGACTGACATGCTCAGGCAGCGAAATCTTCGAGAACCCCTTCATCTTTGACCCGTGAGATGTGATCTTCAATATTGGTCACTCCTGTGACAACAAAATATAAACAAATTAGTTGATACTTAATTATGACTGACATACATAAACAAAAATTAATACTATAAAAGACATATACCTCACCTTATCATAATCGTAAGGCTGCATACTCAACATACTCTGTAAGCACAAACCGACCGATGGGTCCTCTTAGGAATCCTTCATCAGTGTGCATAGAGGGCCCAACCGAAGGAGTTGTAACCTCCGTCTCAACAGTAACTGATGGGCCCAACTCACCAACAGCAACATCTGGTCGTACCTCCTCAACATCCTCTTAAGCAACCTCCTCAACAACCTCTTGAACAACTAAATCAACCACCTGAGCAGCCATCGGCTCAACGATCGACTCAACCACCGGCTAGCCGACAGGATCAAGTATGGAAACGTCTGACACCACCTCATATGTAGCCTGCTCTGTTGATTGAACTCCACGGTGTCGAGGGGAACAGGTTGCCCAGAAATGACCCGCTCAGCCATCCGCTTTCGGTGTGAACCAGTGGGGACCACTCGTCCTAGTCATAGCTGGAAAGACTCAGCATCAGCATCCCTAATAGCCATACCCTGGTCTGATGCTAGATCTGCAGGTCTCCCAGGAACAGTACCGTTTCTGCCTCTGATTTCACAGCAAAAGAAGAAAATAAATAAATATTAGGAAAAAATATTGGGAAAAAAAATAAAACTAAATTTTTATAATTATTTGAAATTTCAAAATTTTCTATCCAAAATTGGATTTTCAAAACTATTGAAAATTTTGAAATTTCCGATACAAGACTAGGTATTCTGAGTTTCCGATAAATAATATTTGGTTTTGTACCAATATTATCGAAAATTTTAAAATTTCAAGTAAAAAACACCTAAAATTTTAAAAAATTTCGTAGAAAATTCCGGAAATTATGGAATTTCCAAAAGAAAAAGAAATTTAAAGATTAATTTGATATATTTATAGAAATTGGGAGATGAGGTTTAAGTGTGAGGGTGATAGGTCAATTACTCTCGTCTTGTAATACTTTTCAACTTGGGCTATGAGTTACGTCAGAAAGCCTGGGCAAAGAGCCCAATATCCCTATAATTAAAGAAATAGTCATTAATTGTTATATATTACTAACATTACACTAAACATTACGTTTTATTCTTTTGGGTAATGTTAACTTGTGCCCTTGGGACACATGTTAAGTGATAAATATAGTAAAAAATTATTGGAAATTGTGTTTTAAATTTAATACAAGTTATGTTTTAAATTTAATACAAGTTAAACATTAATGATTTTATTGCTTTTTTCTTTTATACGGTCTATCCAATTATATTTGATTTTATGACAAGGAAAAAATGGTGATGTAGTTTTAATAATCACTAGTCAATAATATATTCACCAAATCACCAAATTCAGTTTTCACTGAGCACATAATAATGTTCTTCTACTTAACTTTTGTGATCAATAAAAAAGAAGTAAATAAGAGTGAAAAAAGTTTGATGCCATATTATTGACCATATACCTGCATCAATAATGGCCTTACACATAAAGTAAAAGTAATTTGATGTTAAGTAGAATTTTGAAAAATGAATGGAAGATTTAGCCATAAGCAAAGAATTTTCTTTATACTCTGTCAAAGAAGGATAACACAAAACAAGTGACATGACATTTCAAAATTCTTTTACAACCCTCTTGCATATGTTCTATAGAAAAAGAAAAATATCAAAGAAAAACCTTGTGATAATCACAATAACTAGCTGGAACAATTTTCAGATAGAACATTGTGAACAAATGTCATCAACAGTTAGGGATCACAGGATGATTCGCCGAATGACAAGCCTTCCACGAAGCTTAATGAGCTTCGTGGGAATAGGAAGAAGAAGAAGAAATCAAAATGTGAATTTTTCGATGCAACAACCTCTAGGCTCTCCACAACCACAAGATTTTTTAGCAACTTCAGAAGAGTGGACTTTTCTAGACAGCTTTGAGCAACAATATGGCTCCAAACATCCTTTCTTTTATGCTTGTCGTTTTGTCGAAGCTATGAAGTTAGCAGAACAAGATCAAAAGTTTGTGTTCGTGTATCTTCATTCACCGGATCACCCTTTTGCAAACGTGTTCTGTAAGGAAACGCTGTGTTCGGAGCTAGTGATTCAGTTTCTTGATGTGAATTTTGTTTGTTGGGGCGCACTTGCAGATAGAGGAGAGGGCTTGCAAATGGCTTCAACATTGAGACCTTCTAGCTTTCCTTGTTGTGCTGTCATAACCCCTGCTCATAGTGGTAGCATAATGGTGCTGCAACAGGTTGGTTGAATTTTTGGGGTTTGATTACTCACTTCTAACACTCTTTCACAATTTTCTTTCTTTTATTTGCAATTGTGTGTCCGTGTTCAGCTAGAGGGACCACTCTCACCAGCAGAGCTAGTGGAGATTCTACAAACAACATTGGAAGAACAAGGGTTGGCTTTTGGTGGTGCTAAAGCTAAGCGAGATGAAAAGATTCGAGCAGATCGTAGGCTCAGAGAAGAACAAGATGCTGCATATCTTAAGGCTTTGCAAATTGACAAGGTTTTTCATTGAGTATATGATTTTTATAAACTGTCTGATACAGCAAAAACTGTCACGACAAAGTGATTTCGGAAGGGGTTGATATTCATACTGTTATTCACTGTTTTTATGATAAAGAACATAATGTGGTTGATTTATAATGCGACGACTGCAATCAGTGTCATAACATCTTTACTTAATGAAATCGCAAAAGCCTTTACGAGAGAGCAATCGTGACCGCGACAGTTATTTAAAAAGTCTAATATGAATTTCCCTATTTCCAAATAGTAAACTAACAATCTTAACTAAATGCAGGAAAAAGAAAAGCTCAGAAGCTTACCCTCGAAAGAGAGAGTTCAGAAGTCAGTGGAAACTCAGAACACCAGAAGTTATGGGAAGTTAAACATCAATCCCATCAATGTCAGTAAATCTCATAATCAAAACAAAACAGGAAATGAACCAACTGGTGAGAAAAAAGACAAGGGAATTGCAGGTAGGGGGAAAGATACTCAAGTTGCACAGGTAATAAATTTTAGTCCTGCTGCTGTACTAACAAAGAAACATGTAAAAAATTAGCTTGTGTTGTTGTGCTTAATTAGTATATATGTTTGTGGAACATTGTGTTGCAGATACTGATAAGGTTTCCAAATGGGGAAAGAAGAGAACATAGTTTCCTATGCGCTGACAAAATTCAGACCATTTTCTCATATGTTGATTCATTAGGTTTGTCAGGACTTAGGAACTATAGACTGGTATCAAATTTTCCTAAAAGAGTTTATGGTGTTGATCAAATGAGAATGACTCTCAAAGATGCTGGTTTGTATCCTAAAGCTAGTTTGTTTTTGGAGCCTTTGTGAACAAGAGCTTCACAACCATGTTAACATGCACAATGTGCAATGTGGAATTTATCCAAAATATGTCACTGTTAAACTGAATTAAATAACGTGTCATGGTTAGATTATGATTAAATATAATTCACTTTACTTTACCACAATTGAAATGTGGCAACATATACATGTCCTTCAAATACATAAAACTTAAAACGTTTAGTATCAAATATTTGGATACAGTCCATCAAAATGAATGAAAAAAATATTGTTGCTGAGCTCGAGTTAGATGCTTCATATCTCTCACTTAATTCCAGAGCTACAACAACCACCTTAGTTTCGTTGCTCAAGAATCAAAGTATAGTTTTGTCTTGCAATTCTGCTATCAATTTTTGTATTTTTGGATCTTAGGTTACTTCTTGTTGTAGTAATTTACCCTCTAACCATTTGGGATAAGACACCAGAGTATTTAATTCTCCTTCATCATATAATCTAAACAAAGCATCAACTGCCTTGTTATCTAACTGTTGTTTGTATTTGACCTCAAACTGATAACCCAAAGGCTTGGCTAACCAACACTGTTAGTCATGAGATGACATTCTTTGCTGCAAAAAATGTTTTAGACTTTTATGGTTTGTATAGACCACAAATTGTTTACCCAACAAATAGTGCCTCCAGTGCTGTATTGGTAAAACCAGATCCATCAATTCCTTTTCATAAATTGATTTGGCTAAGTTGATTCAAATTAGACTTTTCTTTTGATTTAAATCAACTGAAAAATGGGTCAAAACTCTATTTTTCTTTTATTCCCCTTCACTTGATCAGTTGACTCAAATTATGAAATGCTCTTGGTTCGAATCTAACTAAATTGTCAAGCATATTTTATGCTTAATCTCAAGCACATATAAAACCTTTTTGTCATCATTGTTCAAAATCAACAAATTCATAATCATTTTTGTGCGATCCTGTGAAAAATCACTATGCCAAAAAAGACTTTTAGCAGCGCTTTTTTTGGCCTTTAGCAGCGCTTTAAAGCGCTGCCAAAAGTGGCGCTGCTAAAGGTAAAGGCAGCGCTTTTTTTCAATGAAAAAGCGCTGCTAAAAGCTCCCTTCAGCAGCACCTATAGCAGCGCTTTTTAAGCGCTGCATAATTCCCTCAACCATCCCCCCCTTTAGCAGCGTTTTCACAAAGCGCTGTCTTAGACCCCCCCCTTTAGCAGCGCTTTTACAAAGCGCTGCCATAGCCCACCCTTTAGCAGCGCTTTTTACAAGCGCTGTCTTAGACCCCCCCCCCTCCAAACCTATAGCAGCGCTTTTGTAGCGTAATGTTTGTGACCTTTAGCAGCGCTTTTATGTAAAAGCGCTGTCTAATGTCTCAGATTTTAAAATTTTTTTTTTAAAAATATTCACTCTGTTTTGTATATTTTACCAACAACCTGCTTATAATTCAGGCCTTTATTTCAACACTTTGGCCTTATAAATACAATTCAAACTTTGGCTTTAAATATACAATTCAAACTTTGGCCTTATATGTACAATTCAAAACTTTGGATACATTGTAACTCATGACTTTGTTCATAAACATTTTAATATACACATAAACCTGTTTAAATATGTTACAACAAAATTCGATCCTCAGAATTACAACAACACAAATACATTCAATTCACATATAATTACAAGTCTTCCAATCCGATAACTCTATACAATTCTCAACCCAAGAATAAATTGACACCATTCATCTTTAATTTCTTCCAATTTTGCTTTCGTGTAAGTAGCGCACTTGAATTCATCAAAATACTACATAATATAACAGATCGAATAAGATTTAAGTTTAAAACTAATTACTCAGATGAAGTATCGGATAATTATCAAAATGAATCATATAACTTATATAATGAATCGATCCATACCATGACTGGAATCTCAAGTTGACTAGAAAGAATAATTTCCCTCATAAAGCGCAATACAAAATATCCACAGTCAATACCATTGCGCTGCCGAGGACACTGTAAATGGAAAAAACAAACGAACATTTATCCGGATATATAGTTTAAATAGTTTTATCAAGTAGAACCACTATAACAGTCAAACATGCGAAAATATACCTCCACTCTGATCTAGTTGATGTTGTTAGCCTTACTTTTTGGCACCGTTGCATCTCTTTGTGCTCTGAATATTTGTATAACTCTAACATAATATAAACGCATATTTAGAACAATGTCACATAATAAATAAAGATATATAATTAAAGACAACAGTATATCTCATCACTTACGTATCAACAAAGTTCCTCAGATTTTCATATTTTGTTGTATCGCCATTCAATGAATCTATATAATACACTATTTCTTTCATCGGATTAATTGCGATCAACAACCAATGTCCACTATAAAATAAGACAACAGTTTAGACGGAAATGTTATATATATAGAAAGGGAAAAATCGAACAATTATAATAAATGAATTTAGAATAAAATCTAACCCATGGCCAGTATTATATGGCAACAAGAACAACTTCTCCGTAGTCGCGCGCATAAATCTCTGCACTGTGTACTCTTTGACTGTATCTGGTGACTAGTCTATTATACGTGAGTTGACACAGCTAGCAGATAAGAATGCGAATACTGAAGTCAGTTCATTCGGGACCAATAACTTGTCATACAAGAACCTAAAAAAACATAATCAACATTAGAATATTCAGTTAAACGAGCAAATTTTAAAATGTTCAATTATTTAATTAAAATGGATCGAAGTACCTGATGTATCAATGCATAACACCGACGCCCAATTCAGAATGGTTGAAAACCTGATCAAAAATCCTCCTTAGCAATTGTTTCGGGATATTCAAAACCGAAAATACCTGCCTCCATGTGTATTTGACGGACGCCACCCTCAGGCACATCTGATGTTCCGACATATGTTTCAAGGCACATCCTAAATCGAGGAACAATTGCTTTTCTGGGAACCTTGGAAGTTTCAGGCATCTTACCCTTGCTGACTTGTTGCGACTGCTGATCATGAACCTAAAAGTCATATATAAGTTCAGTAATTAATCTATAACAAGATAGTCATGTAACTGTAGTAGTACCTGTTTCTTTGATGCAACTGAATCGGTATCCCACACAATAATTCTATCATCTTTTGATTTGGATTTTGTAGGAGTCTAAGATCATCATGTAAATAAGAAAATGTAGATGTAAGAATAACTTTCATGTATGGATCATAAAACATTTGAGTATTAAAAGGTTGAACCTACCTCATCATCTATGCAAATCAGATTTGCCGGCCATGCCACATACGCTCCTATTGCGTCTCTGTTGCACCCCAAAATTTGACCAACTTTTCTTTACCTAGCTTATGTTTCATTTCATGCACATTAGCATTATCATTTGCATTTCATTGACATGTATGCAGGAGATCAAGAGGTATGATTACCAGTCAAGAGATATACAAGACTATGAAGCTAGCTAAGAAGGTTATTCAGGTGCTCAAGGGTTGATATCCTTGTCAGAGAAGTTAAAAGATCCTCAGAGAGAGTGATTGAAGCCAAGTGTGTAGGTCTCCTAACTTGAAAGTTGTGGGAAGTCATCAGATGATTCTGAAGCCATGAAGTTATACTTGAGGTCTTGAGAGAGATCATGAGAAGTGTTGAAGATCACTTTGAAGCCTAGACAGGTCATTGTGCAAGATTAAGAAGCCTCAGCCATGATTGGTGCAGTTAGGGTTTGACTGGGTCCACCCTAGGTCAACTGATGATTTGAACAAGGTTGAGACCTAGTTCAAAGGCCATGTGATCATGGATTGATGCATTGAGATGCTATAAGGATGATTCCAAGGTCAACTCATCATGATTGAAGAGTTTGAGAAGTTTCAAGCTAGGGTTTTTAAGGCTTGACAGTGTAAAATCCCCTAGTTTGACCCCTATCTTCAAGGCAATTTAGCTCAACATGTGATTGTCATCTCATATTACCCCCAAAATGAATGTTGTATAGCATGATATTAGCTTTAATTTGAGTGCTAGAAGTCCTTTATAGGATTTGTAGAACTCAAGTTATGGCTTTGACAAGTTACAAGTCATCTGAGGAATGTGAATTTGAAGCTTGAAAGTTACCAAGCTTGCATGAACATTTTGCCCTAGAAGGATGATTCCTATGAACTTTTGGTCAACATGAATGTTGTTCATTATCCTCTTAGCTTTCTAGAGAGTAATAGAAGTCCTCGATAGGATTTGTAGAACTCAAGTTATGGCTTTGAAAAGTCAAGGGTATTTTGGGTATTTGGAGATTACAGGTCATTTCAATCATAAGTCCATAACTCCTATTTGCAAGCTTCAAATGGGAAAATATTCAACATCAAACTTGTTCAAAATGATGTTTTAAGGCTAGCCAAGTGGTCATGAGAGGTTGGAATTGCTTGTAACTCAAAATTGCAAAATTGGCTTAAAAAGGGAAGAATTAAAGTTCATTAAAAGGACCAAATTTGTGATTTTTCATTCCAAAGCCAAGATAAGGCATGTAATATGTCATTTTGATCATAAATGACATTTTAAAGGCATTGGCAATGTTACTTTTCTCATTTGAGGTCAAAATCATGGAGTTGCATTTTGTTACTTAAGGCTTAAGGTACATTTGCCAAACTTCTCATAAGATCAAAACCAAGGGGCAAACACATTCCAAGCACACTCAAAATCTCATGTGGAGAGAATTTGGATGAGAATGAGGGCAAATGCAAGCTGCTGCAAGAGCTGTTATGAACATGGCATGAGATTGAATTTCAAGTGAGATGAGATATTGAACTTCTCATTAGAGTGATCCAGAACTTTCTAGATCATTCATTCATGTCCTATATAAGCACATGAAGTGATCCAAGGCCAAGGTTGGTGAGAATTGAGAGAGGAGAGTGAGATTGCATTTTGAACTTGCACATTGCAAATCAAAATCTGTTACAGCCATTGGAGCCATTTCAATCCAAGTTCTTGATCCCAATAGCTTGCTCTAGGGTTGGTGGTTGATTCCAGATCAAATTCAA